TTTTTAAAAACAATGAATGCGGAAATCGGGTCGCCGAACTGTTCAACCTACGGCATCCTGAGAAACATGCGTCTGGAAAAATTGTTCGCGAATTGGTGGCCAAATTTCGCGAAACTGGCTCCGTTCATAACAAAAAGAGGCAGGTTGAAAATCCGGTACTAAATGAACCTACGGAAATAGCGGTATTGGGGCAAGTGGCAATGGATAGTACGCTGAGTACAATGCAATTGGTTACTGCGACAGGAGTGAGTCGTACAAGTGTCCAACGAATATTAAAAAAATACAAATTCCATCCTTATAAGATTCGGCTAGTGTAAGAGCTAAATGAAGACGATTTTGATCGTCGTTTGCAATTTTGCGAAATAATGACTGAACGAGCGATAAACGATAATTTCCTCTTTAATGTGTGTTTTTCGGACGAGTGTACGTTCTTCTTGAATGGTTTAGTGAATCGCCATAATTGTCGTTACTGGGCTGATACCAATCCAAGGATTTTCCATGAGACACACTCCCAACACCCCCAGAAGTTGAATGTATGGCGAGGTATTTTTGGAAATTCCATTGTAGGTCCTTTTTTCCTTCCTGGAAATTTGACAGGCGATATGTACTTGGATTTACTACAAAATGTCATCGACCCAGCTCTAACAAATATCATAGAGGACGACCCTGCTTACAATGAACACGAACTGATTTTCCAGCAAGACGGAGCTCCTCCACATTACTCGCTTAATGTGCGCAATTACCTAAATGAGACGTTTCCAGGACGCTGGATAGGACGAAGAGGTGCAATTGAGTGGCCCCCTCGGTCACCCGACTTAAATCCTTTAGATTTCTTTCTCTGGGGGCACATTAAAAGCAAAGTTTACAGCACTCCACCTGATACCTTGGAAGATCTGCGAGGACGAATCATTAATGTATGTCGCGAAGTAACACCGCAAGTGCTCCAGAATGTTCGACAACGGTTTGAAGACAACCTGTATCATTGTATGCAAGTTGGCGGACAACATTTTCAGCATTTACTTGACTAATACCGTAAGTTTTGAAGTAAAATTAAATCGATTTTCGCATTTCTCGTCAAAAATATTGTTCGTATTTTCAAAGCTGCATATTTTCTAAAATAATGAATCGATTTTCGAAAAGTAAGAATCGATGTATAGAGAATTAAAAGCCCTTCCTAATGACCCCCCCACTTGACCCCCATTCCCATTTGAAAAAAATTTAGGGGATAGCACCCCCACTTAGGGGGTTGAAGATTTTGGTATGCTTTTTGAGCCAAAAGTTGTCCCCCTCAGAAACAAATTTGACCTGTTTTTGGATTTTGCCGAAAAGTAGAAGAAGTAGAGAAAGAATATACCCTGTATATGGAAGTGCCAATGGTAATGGTCTTGAAGTTCGACAGCTGGATGCTGAGGCTTATTACATTCCTAACTTGGCAGAGTTTATCCTATTCATAGATAAAGTAAGATTTTCGTAGGATGGAATTTGTTTGGATCAGAATCCACATGCTGTCGTTGAACCAGACATTAACAACAATAAATTTAAATATCTGGATACTTTAATAGAACCTGTTCTATCGCCTAATTGCTTTCTAATTGCAATTAATTTCTAATTGCTTTCCTAATTGCTAATTGCTAAATCTTTAACTTTTATTTTTAATTTTTTTTTATGATCTTCAATAATTTCTACACAATGGAAACAGTCAGTAAATTTTGTTCAATTTTTAAAAAAGATGACAAAACTAAAATTGAAAATTACAGACCTGTTGCAATCATGTAATTTAGAATCTTTAATTTCTCCAAACCAATATGGGTCCACGCAAGGAAGATCAGCAATAACAAATCTGGTATGTACTGATTCGTACGTATCAACCATTGTTGTGAAAGGGAAGGTTGATGGCATATACAGACTGTTACAAATTCGTTTCTCACTACAGGGACCTCGGAAACGGTAAGAGGTACGAAGTAGCTTAAGTGGGGGCAAAGTTGCGTAATCAGGGGACCAACATTATGTCTTTAAAAAATCAAGGCTAACATGTTTAGTTTTCGAAATATTTTGGAAATCCGTATTTGTTTCATTTCAGCCTTATTTGGGATGATATTGAAAAAAGAAGAACACTTTACAAAATTAAAAAGTATTGGTAATAGTTAGACATGACAATCCCCTCCTCAGGCAAGCCGTTGACTACGTACCCGACGTGACCGACAAACACAAAAGACCAGACACCAACTTTTTGACCCTGGGTGACCACCCCAACGACGTCCCCCCCCCCCTGCCCGCTAACCTTTTCTGTTTCAGAGACCGCCAGGATCAAGAAACGAAGACAACGACACACACACACACATACACACACACACCCCCCCATACCCTCTTTACCTCTCCCTTCCCGCGCTAGCCTAAGGGCCACCTTGGCAAAGCGCATCCCAGGCTGCATAGCCGCACTACCCTACCCAACCATACCACACATAAACATGACACTACCCCCGGGGTTTACACAGACGAGCCGGCGAAGCAAGAAGAGCGCCAGAAGAAAGGGCCCTAGCCGGCGGGGCCCAGCCAGGACAAAAGGAGGTCCCACAAAGCGCCTACACCGGCCGCATTAGCGGTCGGGGTAGACGACGGATGGGGCCCACCTACGAAGGCTGTCCAGGCCTACACGAGATGAGGCAGGATAAGGAGGGATAATCCCCCTCGATCCCAAATCATTGAGGCCAATTTCTAGCCATGGAATAATGGCGGCGGTAATAGTTAATAATAATAAATGTTTTATTGTTACGCGTGGTGGTAATAGTTTAAATAGATGGATTTCACAGGATCTAACGACACTTACAGTGTACGATAATAACTCAATAAACAAAAAAATCTAAATAAAAAATTTAGATAAATTTGGAACGAATACACTGACGATGAATTTTTCGAGACAAAACGTGTGAATCTGGTGCCGGCTGAGGCAGTACAGTATTGGGGGTCATAAAGGCTTGCAAAAAATGTAATAAAATTTCCAGTTTCTTATTTAAAAAACTGAAGTTGATAATGGTCCTGGAGAGACAAAACGTTACATGTAAAAATTGATTATGCCATGCGATAGAGGGCAAAAAGTGGCCTTGTGTTCTTCTTTTTTTCAATATCATCTCGAACATATCTTGATTATGCAACTTTGCCCCCATTTAAGCTACTTCGTACCTCTTACCGTTTCCCAGCCAGTATACTCATCTGTTAAAAGCTTTTGACAGGCTTGACGAAGATCTGGTATTGCAAAAATTATTTTTCTATAGCTTCTATAATGTGTGTTTCATTCCCATTACGGTCTTTATCTCACTTACTTTTGGGTAGTTAAAATAATTAAATTAATTTTTTTTCAAAAGAGCTATCGCATGCTCCACATTTCTATTTAAAAAGAGATGACGTCACCATTGTCACATAGATAACGTTACATGTACAGGGTGATTCACTATGTTTTGACACCCCTTTAACTTTTTTGTTTTAAGAGTTACAAAAAAATGTAAAATACAAAAGTTGCACGATTTTTTATGAAGTTTCCGAAAATGATAGTAAAAAACAAATGAAGTCTAAACAAAATGGCCGCGGATGCTAACTTAATTTAAATGGAACATCCTATATATTTTTGTCGAGCATAGTCATATAGGGTTTGTTGTATCCATCTCTAACAATAAGCAAGATAATATTAAAAAACGAAAAGAAGGTTTTTTTTATTAAGAAAATAAGATATCTTGTAATTGTTAAACCCCTTTCAGGCATTCGTGACTAGTAAGGGTAACTTGATCTATTTTTTCTTTATTTTTTGGATATTTTGCCATCTGTGAAAAAAATTTAAAATTAATGAAATAAACACTTACGCCAAATGGATCAGTCAAGGGTTATTTTTTACGGAGTTTATTATCAAAAACGCGCAAAAATAATGTTTTTCAGTGCTTTTTCTGCTTTTTCTGTGTGAGATTTTTTTTTTTGGTTAGACAAAACTATTTTCAAACCCTTGACTGATCCACTTGCACAAGTGTTTATTTAACTAATTATTTAAATAACTTCAGACAGTAACTTGATCTAATTCCCCAACCAATGGACAAATTTCCTTTGAAAGTCCTGGAGCGTCACAAATATCGTCCCCTTTACCTCTAATAGATTACGTGTTGCTGAACTTGTGTACAGAAGCTCCTCCTGCGCATATAGGTTCCAAAGTTTCGACAAAAGCGAGCCGAACAAGCCCGGACGAAATTACATAATTAATTAAGTTAAACATTAACGAAACGGTAGTGTTCGGAAATACGGGACCGGGACAAAAACGTGGCGCGGCAACGTGGCAATAAAACGTGATATCGCCCCCATGTGAACGGGGCAGATGTTCTGTTACGTGCAATGCGGATCAATTAGTAACCGTAATTTAACGACGAAGCGTAAACTGATCCCATAAATCAGATCCGTTGTAATTTATATAATGATATATTTTACACAGCCGCTACTAAATAAATATTCCCTATTTTGAAGGATCATTAAGCGCGGTTTTCGGCCCAATTAGAAAACTTAAAAAATTCATGATTTTTATGGCTGGAGGCGAGACAAACAAAATGCAATCAATTTTAACTCAAACGGACCCACCCCCCATCACCCACTGTCCTACATACCCCCCAATAACCGACCTACATTCAACTACTATGACAGGTCCTAGTAATGGCAGAAAAATGTCGTTTTCCATATCCCTAGGGCCATACAAACAATATTCCGTTGATTTTGAACCAAACGGGCCTACGCCCATTTTCCCATACCCATCCCCACAATTCTAATTACGTCCAACTCTTGTGACAGACAGGAGTGCCAGAAAACTCAAACTGAAGCTCAGATAAATACAAACTAGGGCCCGGACAGGCAAGCTCAACCTGAATAACCGACTGGTAGAGTGTATTTTAACCATGGCCAGGAAAACTGAACCTCTGAAAGGCAAACTAAATCTGAACCTCGCATGGGGGAACTCTAACTGAGGCTCAAACATGAAATCTGTATCTCAAACAGAAGCTCAAGCTGTCAAAATCAGGCCTAAGCATCGACAGCGAACTGAAACTGAAGTTCAATCAGGTAAAACCAAGCTGAAGCTTGGACAGGGAAACTCAGACATGGAAGCTCAAACTCTAATAGAAGCTATAGCTGGTAAAACTGAAGCTCGGACAGGGAAATATTGGCCCAAAATCAAGTGAATATTTCTTGTCTGGTCTAGGGCTGTTTAAAGAGTCATTTTTGTGACACCACTTCTTGTCATAATAGTTGGATATGGGTAATAGTACAACCCAAAACAAGTGAATATTGCTTGTCTGGCTCTAGGGATATGTAAAAAGTCATTTTTCTGCCCTTACTACTTGTCATGGTTGTTGGATATGAGTCGGTTATTGGGGGGTTTGTATGGTAGTAGCGGATGGTGGGGAATGGGCCCATTTGTTGTTGTTTTTGGTCTTCAATTGGATGCAGAAATAACTTCAAAATTAATCTGTCAAGAATTGAAAAGACTTGTGGATGTAACGATTGAGGAATCTGATTTAAACAACTTTTATAGACTTGGGAAAACAAAAAATTGCCCTATAAAAATTGAATTTATATCATATTTGAAAAAAGATCAAATAATAAGGAATAAAAATAAATTAAAAGGAACGAATGTATTCATTGCACATGACCAGACTATTAAACAGCGTCAAGAAAACAAAATCCTAAAACGGCACCTACAAGTGAATAAACAAAATAAGAAAAATTGCTACATTAAAGGTAACAAGTTGTACGTGAATAATATAGCGCATACAATAAATGATCTAGAATCCGTGAAAGACATAGAAACCAATTTTTATGTGTCAAATAGTGCACCAGCTACACCAAGTTGGGAAGAAAATAATATTTTATGTGAACTAAATTCTGGTAAATTTCAGGTAAAATTGTTGAAAGAAAGGAAAAATCCCAAGAAAAAACTGTAACAACACGTTCGAAAACTGCAAAACATTAATTAACTGTGTTGTTTTAGTATTAGTAGTATAAGTATGTTTTAGATTCTAAATTCATTATTAAATTGAAATATTTATTTTGGCATATAAGAAGTGGTACATAAGTTGGTTGTCAATATGGATCAATATATCCGAGATTTTAAATTAAATGCTGTAGAAACGTACACTTTGCAAAACCATACGGAAGCAAATGCAGTCTTAAGTGTAAATAATACAGAAAAAAGTTTCACTGTTCTAAATAATAACATTCGCAGTTTAAATAAAAATTTGGATGAACTTAAAATTTTATTACATAATATAGAGATTGATGTTGATTGTATAATACTTACAGAAACGTGGAAATTAGATTCTCCGGAAATATTCAACATCAACGGATATAATATGATATACAATAGGGGGGAGATAAATCAAAATGATGGAGTAGTAGCGTACATAAAATCCAATTTTAAATTTAAGTATGAAGTTATTAATATTGGCAATATAAAAATTTTGAATGTTACGATTGACTTCAATATAGACAACATTATACACATTATAGCAGTTTATAGGTCACAATCAACAGATCCCTTTGAATTTAATCACAATCTTCAAAGCTATCTTCATACAATGAATATAATATCTAATAAACACTATATAATAATAGGTGACATAAACGTTGATATAATTGAAAATAGTGAGTGTGCTGTAGAGTATACCAACATATTGAATGAATTTAGTTTTATATCCACAATAAACAGACCTACAAGGGTACTAGGAAATCAAAAATCGTGTATTGATCACATTTTTATTAAACCTAAAAATATTTACTATTTAGAACAAATGTTACCTATTATTGTAGAAACTAATATAACTGATCACTATACAGTAATGTTGCAAATTATGTTTAATAATAAAAAAATGAAAAATGATACATCTCATTACAGTACCACAATAGATAATAATAAATTATGTACGAAATTAACTAATATGTGTTGGGATCCTGTATTTACTGCTAGGAACGTAGAGTCTGCAACAAGTACATTTGTAAATATTATTAAACAAGCAGTACAAGATTGTACTAATTTAAAAAAAAAATAAAAAGAAAACTGCATAAAAAGTCACAGTGGATAACAAATGCACTACTAAAATCGATTAATACAAAAAACGACATGTTCAAAAAATTAAAAAGCAATCCAAATAATGCTAATTTAAAAAAAGAGTACATTGATTATAAAAATAAGTTAACAAACCTGATAAAAAAGTCAAAACAAAATTATTTTCAAAATATAATTAATAAAAACAAAAACAATACAAAGAGGTTGTGGAATGTAATTCAAGACTTAACAAAATCAAATCTTAAATTTAATAAAATATCGTCTCTAAAAAATGTTGATGGTGATATTATAACTGAGTTAAAAGAAATTTGTAATGAATTTAATACAACTTTTGCAAACACAGGAAAGTATTTAGCACAAAAAATACAACAAAAAAATGATATTAAATATAGGAACGTAACAATAGAAAAATCATTAGTTTTGTTACCTACCGATGCATATGAGGTGAATGATATTATATGTCAATTAAAAGACAATAAATCACCGGGGTTGGATCACATTAGAGCTGAAATGCTAAAACCTATTGCCTGTTATTTACTGGAGCCACTTGTATTTATCTTTAACAAATGTATACAGACAGGATCTTGGCCATCAGCTTTCAAAGATTCTTTGATTGTTCCTATATTTAAAAAAGGGGATGTCACGACGGCTAGTAATTATAGACCAGTTTCATTAATAACTAATTTTACGAAAATATTCGAAAAATTATTAAAAGTTAGATTAGTCTCTTTCCTTAATAAAAATAAGTAAACAATACGGTTTTAGACAAAATATATCAACTGAAGATGCTATGATAGACTTAATAAATAATGTGTCCTCGGCATTAGATAAAAGTACACCTTGTTTAAGTACTTTTATAGATTTATCAAAAGCATTTGACACTGTCAGCCATTCGCTACTGTTACAGTCACTGGAAAATATTGGTGTACGTGGAATATGTTTACAACTTTTTCAAAATTATTTATCAAACAGACATCAAAGTGTAAGAGTAGGGAATGTCTACAGTGACAAACTAATCATAGAATATGGTGTACCCCAAGGCACAGTATTAGGACCTATTCCATTCTCAATATACATAAATGATTTGTTTTCATTGCCAATAAGAGGAGACATTATTGGATTTGCTGATGACACAGCAATATTTCATAAAGCTGAATCATGGATTGAATTAAAACAGTTAGTGCAAACGGATTTGCTTTACCTTAAAAATTGGTTTGACTATAAATTATTAACCCTTAACTTAGAAAAAACAACATACTTACCTTTTAGTTGTAACAAATCAAACCTTCCAAATTTTGACTCCATAGATTTACAAATTCAAGGAAAACCTTACAGTATTCTTCCAAAAACAAAAGTAAAATATTTAGGAGTATTTATTGATTGCCATTTACGTTGTGATGTACATAAAAACTATGTAATAAAAAAGTTACAGACACTCCTATACAAATTTAGATATATATGTAAGATATTAGACAAAACTCAGTTAAATATTGTTTACCATGCATTGGTGGAAAGCCATATAAATTATGGGGTCTTAACATGGGGCGCTGCTGTAAAAAGCTATATAAAGCCTCTGGAAATCATACAAAAACGATTTCTCAAACTAATGTTGAATAAAAATCCCACTTATCCCAGTGATCAGTTGTATAGCGAATCAAAATTGTTTGACATTAGACAGCTATTCTATTATAAATGCGCTTTAAAATTCCATTTAGCTGGTAAGCAATATGGCGAGAATAAATCCTTTTATAATACTCGAGGGAAAAATTTATACAAACCGCCCTTTATGGCAAAAAATATTGGTCAAAGATCATATGCTTATTTGGCTATAAAATTATATTAATTATTAATTACCTGATATCTTGAAAATTACTAAGTCATCAAATCATACTATAAAAAGAAAATTAAAAATTATATATTAGAAACCCCCAGACAACTAATTCACAGCTTTATAGAAACCAGCAATAAATAAATGAGGATATTTTATGTGTGTATGTGTGTATATGCGTGTATGTATGTATGTATGTATGTATGTGTGTATATATATGTGTATATGTATATGTGTATATATATGTAGGTATATGGTTATGTATGTCAGTGTATGTACGAAATAATTATGTCAATATATGTCTAAATTTTTCTTAAGTTTATTAACTGAGTGTACCACACACGATGATATATATATTGTATGTTAATATTGTATTAAAATATTGTACTGCATTATTGTTCTCGAAACAAGTCATTACTTATCGAGTATATGTTTTATTACTTTTTTTATGCTTATTCTTACTATTAAGATTAGATTCTAAAATTGATTATTGTATATTGTTAGAAAGGATGTAGCATAGGTAAATAAACATTATTATTA